CTCTATGCGTGGGACGCGCAAGGCGAATTCATACACGTGGAAATGACCGGTTTTGAAGATTTTTGAATCAATTATATTCAGATATACTGAAATATGGTAAATGCACCATATTCCGACACTGTGGGTAATTCCGACATGCCTCAACTTTTTCTTCTGAATTAAGTTTGGTCTTGTTTGCACGCATGCGTGGATGGTTAAAAGAGTGACTTTGCCTGCTATCATAGTGGCAAAGCAGAGAGTTTTTTAGACTCTTCCTCAAGTTCATTTTTGAGTCCTATAAGTAGACCAGTAAAGTATCTTGGATACCAGAATTATCATACATAAGAAATCTGTAAAAATCTTGGGTAAATAAGGAAATTGAACTGATTCTAAAAAATCACTGGTTTGCCACTATGGCGGATGGCCGACTGTGCGCAGCAATAGCTTAAAAAAAGTCATAATGTGCGGGTAAACTCCGTGAAAACTTACTACATCATCCTGAGATTCCTGACTCCTACCTAAGTGTCAGAGTGTGGACAGGAATGTGGATCAGAGGGTTCAAGGTTGTCAGTCTGCTTTGCTCTTATTTTTTTCTCTCCTTCAAATTACTTTCTTCTTTTTTTGTTATCTTTCATGACAAGCTGACATTGGTGAGATGATGATTGGTCTGACATGTGAGAGTGACATACACTAGTGCTTTGCTTTCAGGAAGCTATTTATTATGGATGTCATCTCCACCTGGGAGGTTGGGACCTAGCAAGGTCATCCCATAGTGACAAACCAGAGATTTTTGAGAATCAGTTTATTTCTTATTTCCTCATTTACTCAAGATTTAAAACAATTTCTTATGTATGACAATGTTGGTATCCATGTTCCATGATACTTTGCTGGTCTATTTATAGGACTCAAAAATGAACTTGAGGGGGAGTCTAAAAAACTCTCTGCTTTGCCACTATGGACCGTCATCCTCATCCGGATTCAGGTGAGTTATAATCCCTGCCATCAGCCCAGCTAGCAGCTACTAACAATCAGATTATGCAAGTTTGCTGGGGACGGTATTTGACCACTCTGCCCAGCCCAGAGACCTGAAAAGGTCCACTCTTACAACCAACGTTCGAAATCGACACTCCCAAATCCTGGTGGTGGTCGCGGGTTGTA